GAATTACAAATTGGTATATGCATCAAGGTCTGCCTACGTGTTGGATATCCAGGTACACGAAATCGAAAAGTTTCCAAACATTCTGGACTCTTGATATAGTAGTTCAGAACATTACATGCAAAGCATATGTCATAGTATTCTCTTCTGCGAACAAGAGATGCTAAGTCTAGGTATAACATAGTCTGATCATTATCAAGTTCAATACCATTGCAAAAAAGTTTATATTTAGCATATTTTATAAATTTAAGTTGAACATTTTCAAGTCTATTTATATGAACCTGATAATATGGCGACCAAATTATGTTTGAAAATTCAAGGATGGATCGAACCAGCGATGTATACAACACCTTCAGAGCAAACACATTCCTAAAGTCTTTACTGGTTCTTTTGATAAAACCTTATATTCTATTAGCCCTACCTACTATATACTCAAAGTGCTCGATGAACGTAAGTTTAGTGTCCAAGTAAACGCCAAGGTCCTTAACAACAAATACCTCAGCAAGAGCAACGTGATTAATGGAATATTCCACAGGTATAGTATTCATCAAGCGGGTGAAGCGCATAAAGCAGCATTTGTCGATATTAAGTGACATGTCGTTGAGGTTACACCAATCGTATACAATGTCCAGATCATTTTGCAGAAGAAGAATATCACGAGTTGATGATACTTCCCGAAATATCTTCAGATCATCCGCAAACATCAGAAAATTGGAGGAAAGTAGATGGCCCAGGTCATTGATGAATAAACTGAACAAGAAAGGTCCCAAATGAGATCCCTGAGGAACCCCAGATGTGACATCGAACTTATCCGAGAGATAACCATCAATTCTCACCTGCTGAATCCTACCTGACAAATAAGACTCCAACCAAGAAATCAAAGTACCCGCAATGCCATAACCGGACAACTTTGAGAGTAGAAGAGCATGATTGACCTTATCAAAGGCCTTACTGAAGTCAGTATATATAGTATGTATCTCACAACCGTTCTCGAATGATCTATTGATAAAGTTAGTGAATAGAAACAAGTTGGTATCAACGGAGCGGCCGGAGGTGAATCCATGTTGCTGATTTACTATGACTTGATGGAAGGCAACCGACAAAACTTTTTCTATACAGTGCTCAAATAGCTTGGGTATTGCTGAGAGGATACTAATTGGTCTATAATTAGACACATTGTTCCTGCTTCCTGACTTGTGGATGGGACAAACATATGACAATTTCCAGACTTTCGGGAACACTCCAGAGATAAGAGACTTGGAAAATACGTAATAGAGGGGAAGATACAGAGAATGGGAGCAAAGTTTTAACACTCTGTTTGGGATTCCATCGGGTCCCTCTCTTTTATTTATGTCGAGTTCAGAGAGCGATTTTTCAATGTCATATGCAGTGATCTGAATGTCAGAAATTGATTGAAAGGTGTGTGTTGAAGAAACGGAAGAAACACTTGCATCAGAAATGGTTTTAGGATTATAAACCCTAATAACACCGATCTCCCAGAAACATCCTATTTATGTACCATTAAGGTCCTTATGTTTCCGACATAAATGGTACATCGCTGCGATGTTTGTAATGTAACATCTCTAGGATGATTGTCCTGAAATGTTTTAGAAACATCCTTTCGAAAATATCTATCGACAAAAAGATTTTTTGTTCTCAAAATTAGATACTTATTACAGCTAAAAAATGGCTAACATTATTTTACAAAACTAGGTAGGACCTCAGACCGGTAGGACCCAGTATCAAATTTGCCAATTTTGTGTGATTTCTGAAAATGTCTCTAGCACACACACAAACTAATTTCAAATTCCATAATATACCTGTAATGTATATAGATAAGGAACTTAATATTAATTTTGTATTGTAACAACAGCAAAATTTAATTTTTCATTCGACTTACAACTTGGAATAAAATAAAATATGTATTGATAAAAGTCTTCTCTCTTTTCAACTTTCAAACATCGTGAATATTCGTGAAGCCGAAGTGTATGGCGCAGGCGCGTGCTCAGGCATTTGTACTTGTACCGGTCAGGACAGGAGGGCACGCCACCACGTCGGGTCGGCGCCGCAGCCAGCGCAGACGGGCAGAATCAGTCGAACGGGTCGTCCTGTGCGCTTCGCTTGTGTTCTTGGGCGGAATTTTATTTCGTAATGGCGTCGTGCTGTGTGGAGGATTTGTCAATTTGTGGTTTTTCGCTACACCTAGTTGTGCCATTTTGTGTTCGAAAGGATCTCTGCGACCTACCAGTGCTTATTAGTTGGTGAGAAAGATTATTTGTTGAAAGATAACGTCGCATAACTATCAATTGTTTAGTTTATTTAATTTCAATATGGCGTCGGTTAGGAAATTTCTAACTTTTCTGATAAATAGCCCCTAAAAACCCGAACTTCATTCTTCATTAGGTAAGAGAAAATAACCAATAATTATTTTTTGTTTTCATAGTTGATTACATTCTAGGTGTGCAAGTTGAATTGTACTTCAAGAACTTTGGATTTTGGTTCTGTGGTTGTTTTGGTTAGTTAATGGTACCTTTATGAAATTGGAGCACCAAAAAAAAAAAAAAGAAAACGCCGAACTCCCCCACTACAACATGCTGCCACTGCCAAACTATGGTTTTCGATGACATGACGGGGCATAAATACTACATTATTTAGGCATAATTGTCCATCGGTTATTATTATATTAGTTGATAGATAATCAATATAAGTATGCATGTACCTTATTTTTTCAATAAAAAATGTTATTGGAAACTGATGTGCCTACTTAATTTTATAATTTTCAATTATTGTTTTTTTTTTGGAAAAAGTTCTATCTGACTTCCAGAAAATAGAACGAAAATTGAAAATTATTGAATTAGGTAATTTTTAATCCATAATCCTAAAATTCATTCACCTATTAAAGTCATACTAGAAACATATAGAGGATGTTTCTTACACCTGCCCCGGATGTATTAGGTACATCCCGCGTCATCTTAGAAACATCCCTGAGAGATGTTTATAGGACATCGCAAATGATGACACGGCTGTTGCCTGCAACATCCCAGGGATGTCCCCAGGAAAATAGGGACCTCCCAGGGACGTCTTCATTATCCCTGATGGATGTTTCTGGAATGTTTCTGCGATGTTACTGTGTTATTAGGGAACTGATGAGAAGAAATCAGCAAAGAGATTGGCTATGTTATAACCATTATCAGCCTTATTTGAGCCAGAAAACATTTCCCTAGGGATGGAGCCTTGATTTGACTGCGAACGAACAAAGTTCCAAAAGTACCCGGCATTCTCCTTGATTGAATCTTCAGTGTTTGCTATGTAAAGACTGTAGCATTCCTTGGACAGGGATAAGCATTGTCTGCGAAGCAGAGAAAATAAGTTATAATCCATAACTGAATTTGATTGTTTGAACCTTTTGTGAGCTACTTTTTTTTGAAAAATTAGGGATTTCAATTCACTTGAAAACCAGATAGGAAATCTGTCGTTGGAGCGACATTGCTTAATAGGCACAAACAAATCAAAACAATTGAATACAACGGAGTAAAAGTTACTTATGGTAATCTCTAAATTATCGTTTAAAATCGACAACCAATCATAGGACAAAAAATAATTGTTCATTAGCTCAAAATCAGCGGACTTAAAGTCGTAAAAAAAGTTATTAGCAGTTTTTAAATAATTTGTTTCCTCAAATTGAATTGACAGTAATAAAGCAGGATGACAGCGATCACAATTTACCAAACCAACACATTCATCGATTGAATTTAGGTCAAAGTTAGCAAAACAAAGATCTAATATAGAGTTATTTCCATTCGATATGCGATTAAATTGAGATAAGCCCAAGAATGCGGAAGTATCGCACAGCAAGATTTCTTTTGCAGATCTGACATTACCTGGCACAAGTTTGAGATAATCCTCTCCCGCAGACCAAGCTACTTGTGGCAAATTGTAATCGCCTACAACCAAAACATTTTTAAAACTATTACAAGCAGAAGATACCGATTTCAAGTGAAGTTCATAATACGAAATATCCATCGATGGTGGCACATATACACAGCCCACACAGTATACAGAATTTCCAATCGTTATGGATACCCAAACTTCTTCGATTGTAGAATCACCAAGTGACAGGAGGCTAGATTTCAAGAAATTTTTTACTGCGAGTAGGACACCACCACCCCGACACTTCGTACTATTAATGGCATTTCGATCAGTTCGATACACAGTGTAAGAAGGATCCAGAAACTCGGAGTCATTGACAGATGAATCCAACCAAGTTTCAGTGAATGCAATGACAGAATATGACTCAATAAGTGCAGCGCAGAATAAATCCTTGAGCTTTGTTTTCAGGCCTCTGACGTTTTGATAGAAGATTGATGCACATTCTAAGTCTGATTGTCTCCCAAATCCCGCTGTTGAAAATTCGTTGACTTAATATTATTATTAAGAGGGCGCCGGGCTCTAAATTCCTTAATAGCCGTCCCAACAGGCCAAAGATTGGGCTCCAGCAGGCCCTTCAAGAGTGATTCCTTGACCCCAATCTTGAATGATATCACATCTTCGTTTTTATCTAGAATAAAACATTTAACATCCGAAATGCCAAGCTGTTGATCCATATAATCAATTATGTTTCCTTCAGTGGTTGCAGGATCACATCGGCCAAGATATAACCATTGACGTCTCTCACCAGCCGAGAAAGGTCCATTCACAGTGCCCGTTCCAATAATCACACGCTCAGATGTGGCAGCAGAAATAGAAGTAGAATTAGAAGTAGAAGTAGAATTCAATCGCGGGTTGGTTGTGGGATTCAATCGCGGGTTGGTTGAGGGTAGCACAGGCCTTTGTTGATGGGCGGATTGTATGTTGTTATTTTTAATGCCTTTAGCAAATTTGTTGGCAGCTTTCAGTCTACTGGGTGGTACCCCAGGGACTCTATCGGTTTTTGCCTCAGTAGAATGGGAAATTTTAGCAGCTAATGTATTCCCACTCGGCCATGCAACCCTCTCACGACTAACCTCTTTCAAAATTCCTTGATGGGCAGCATTAGATGCTCCCCCATCTGTCAAGAATCTAACTAGGTCTTTGTTTGCAGAAACTATGTTGTCCGCGACTCGGGATAGATGAGATTCAATGGTTACTGCCTGCGCATTCAACCCCTCCAAGATTTCTCCCTTCAATTCAGACATGAACTCGGATATAGATTCCCTACAATCACCACTCAAAGGTAACTGGGAGGGTTCACCGGCACGCGTTAGCTCATCGGACACGCCCTCGTTACGGTTTTCATTAAATGATCTTTTAATTTCCATAACTTCTGCAGCCCATGATTCTTGCTGATCATCAAGATCTTTCCGAACTGACTTCATTTCAGTTTCCAAGACAATAATTCTATTTATTAATTTTGGCACCATACTCAGATATCCTCTGCAGTCCGGGCATACATGAAGTAGGACTCGAGACGCTGAAGGAACAACTCTTATTTCGGAAGCCATCAAGCCAGTACAGTTTTTACATACTATTCTCTGACATAAATCGCAGGGGAAACCGAAAAGAACACCCTTATCCTCCTTCTGGACGCATGTCTCATCGCAGTTATAGCATTTTGCCATTTTGAATACACAAATTACGGTCGACCACAAAAACCTACAGAAGCGTATTTCTTGGAGCTTATTCGATTATCACCGTTTAAAAAAAAATAAAAATAAAATAAAAGTCCAACGGATCAAGCAGTCAATTGTACTTAAAACTACTCTCTCTTCTTAATCAATAATTGTTAGGTACAATTTAAAATAAAACCCAAACATTTATATATTTTTTCTTTATTTATTGATAAATTATAACATATTCAATAATTTATTTACATTTTCTTTTATCACTAAAAATGGTATAGTTCTATAGAGTAAAAAGAAAAACACCTTATACGATAATCATCTTGCGATATTAATTCAAATTTAAACGCCCAAACACATAAAATAATAACTTAGGAGATCTAAAAAAAAAAAACTGTTCTTGTATTAATAATATTAACCATTTTGCTTGTATTGTATTTACAAACGTAAAATAAAAAATATTGTGTATTATAGGTACAATTTGACCAAAAAAGTTCGAGCAAAAAAAAAAAATTCATGCCAGAGGCGAACTTTATCGATCACACTGTACAATAACTATTAAAATTGAAACTGATTCACTCTCAAAAAAAAAACTATTTTCATATCACATTGTTGACACCCAGAAAATACAACATCAATCCTAATAATTTGTACTCGCACCTAAACAATCAAATCCCTTAAATTTTACGCACCCAAATTATAAAAAAAAAATCCTAAAAATAATAATTATTATTAGTACTTAAATATTATAAAATTTATTAATAGAAAAAAAAAATAAACACCATACATTATTATTTTGGATTATATGAAAAAGTAATTTCTATCTCTAACATACCAAACTCTTATATTACTTTACAAACTCATGTGTTTTACTTAATAAAACACAATTACAGTTTAGGTGCAAGTACTATATCTACCTCTTTCAATATAAAACTTGGCAAATTTCTATATAATCGATTCAAAACAAAATCTAGCAGGTGTGTGTGTGTGTGCACTTAACAATTACTCAGTAAAAACGGACCATTATTCCAGTTTTGATTTGATAAATAATTGAGGTCCTTTCGATGGCAGTCAACGAATCGATTTTTTTTTCGTCCCAATGTGATAAGGGCAGGCACTGAGTCGAGTAAAAGTGATTCTTTTACCGACCTCGGAAGGGCTCAGCCCGCGGGTCACTGTTCTTGATCCAGAACGTCCGAGACTGCTGCAAACGCGCAAGATCCCAAACCGTTGTGGGACATTAGACGGGATAGTTCGTTGGCGTGGGCCATTGCTACTTCTAGGGGCGGTTTGCGAGGTCTATTACTGGATTCTGGAAAAAAATAATCAATGGATTATTCTGTAACAAAATTTAAGACAAAGTTTCAAATTTGAGGCTCAATATCTTAAAGAGCATGTAATTCTGATTAAGAAATTATAAATATGCATTCGAATTTCTAAAAATATTAATTGAGATATTGACGATTAGTTGCTTAGGAAAGGAGGGACCGATGTTTATTGCAATTCAGCAATAAACGGATATAAATTGCGCTGCAAGCCGCAGCAAAGGCAGACTTGAACCAGTGCAAGTACCTCTCGTTGGGAAAGCCCCTCTGGAATTAAGTCAAAATCAAAAAAAAATTAAAAAATCAAAATCTTTATTAACGCATGTAGCATTTACAGATTATAAAAAAACTTAAAATTTTAAAATAGAACATTTTCGGCTTGTCGATACATATATAATACACACATAACAAAAACGACAGGAGTAAGATGGCGAACTGACCAATCCATAAATATTAAAATTAAAAAAAATATATATAAATAAAATTCAAAACTTAAAAGTGAAAAATACAAAAAACACTTAATACTAAAATAAAATATCCTTAGATTGCCTACAGAAAGTCTTATAATCACAGTCAAAAATATCAATGTCTTCATTTTTTTTGTAACACTAAGTTTGCAATCCTACACATCCTATCTATGGGCATATTAATGCCATAATTGGTCCTATGAAAAGGAAGGCTAAACAACTCTTTCCGACGAGGGAATATGAAAGTCAATCTCTGCAAGAAGATCTGGGGTATCTATTATGCCATGCAAAATCTTAAAAAGGGTACAGACATCAAATAATTGTCTTCTATTCTCAAGAGGAGTAAGATTTAAAAGCTTCATTAAGTCATCACAGTTAATATCTTCATAAGGAATACTCATCTTAAGCCCAACCCTCCTAAGAAATTTTCTCTGCACCCTTTCCAAACTCTGCCTGTGTACACTATAATAAGGCTGCCAAACGGAACTAGCATACTCCAACAGTGAACGTACTAAGGCACAGAAGACTTTCTTTAAAGTAAAAATATTATCAATTTCTCTCAGAGTTCGAAAGAGAAACCCGAGCATCCTCATTGCTTTGTTTGTGGTTTTTTCAATATGAGTGTTAATTGATAGATCACTCTCTATCCATACGCCGAGGTCTTTAACTAAGGTTTTTCTTTCCAACTCTAAATTATTAATTGAGTAATTAAAAGTGATTGGGTTTTTGATTCTGCTAAATGTGATAACGTTACATTTTTTGACATTTAGTTGAAGATTATGTACTGAACACCATGTGGTAAACAAGTTAAGTTGCTCTTGCAAAGATTGACAGTCCAGCTCATCTATCACAATCTTATATATCTTAAAGTCATCAGCAAACACACCAAAATCACAGTCCCTGAAAATCAACTCAACATCATTCACAAACAAATTAAAAAGTATGGTTGACAAATGCCCCCCTTGAGGTACCCCTGATGTCACTACAATTTCAGATGATGTAAAATTTTTCATTTTAACGGTCTGTCTTCGGTCTTTCAGGTTGCTTTCGAACCACCTAAAAAGAGAGCCAGAAAGTCCCACAGCATTTAGCTTGGATAACAAAATTCTGTGATCCACTCTGTCAAATGCCTTCGAGAAGTCAGTATAGATAGCATCCACCTGATACTTATTCTCAAAGGCACCCAACAGAGCCTGCTCATAGGTCAAGAGATTAGTTACAGTGGATCTCCCCTTCCTAAAACCGTGCTGTTCATTCATTATGATCCTATTGAGATGAGGAGACAAACTATCAGCAACCAGTGATTCAAATAGTTTAGCAATTAAAGAGATCCTACTAATAGCTCTGTAGTTTTTGACATCAGCTCTGTCACCATCCTTAAAAATAGGTGAAACAAAGGATTTTTTCCAAAAATCTGGAAAAACTCCTGTACTTAGGTACAAATTAAAAATCTTACATAAAATGACCGATAAAACATATTTACAATTTTGTATCACAGATGCCGGAATCCCATCAGGACCCATTCCCAAATTTTTCTTCATTTTCTCAATCTTATTAAAAACATCAATAGTGGAAAACTCTAAACAACTTAAATTAACACATTTGTCATAATCCAAAAGCAAATCGATTACTGGACCATCAAAATTTGAGTACACAGAAGAGAAATGAGATCCAAACATCTCCGTGATTTCTTGGGCATCGTCAGATTCACATCCATCAAAAGTCATGCATTTTGGATATTCTGTGCCGCCTTTTTTTGATTTCACAAAGCTCCAAAAAGATTGCCTATCATGCAGTTGATTTTCTAAATTTTTCACATAGTTTTTATATGATGTTTGAGAAATATTATGGCATTCAGATCTTAAAGTAGCAAACTGATCATAGTGTTCTTGTGTGTGTGTATATTTATAATTCTTGTGAGCAATTTTCAAGTCTCCCCAGTGCAAGTACCTCTCGTTGGGAAAGCCCCTCTGGGTATCTTCAGCCTTATCGTTGTCCAGTGCAATTACCTCTTATTGGGAAATCCCCTCTGGACAAGGCATAAGAGTGACGATAACTAATAATAATAATAATAATAATAATAATAATTTTATTGGTGCATTTACTTACAAACAAAGTTTACACAAGTCAGCTTAGTGTAGCATAGTAGAATTATTGAGAATTATAATATGCTGAGTATAAATGAATACATTATGGATCACAATGTTACAATCATATCGTTAAAATTATTGTTCCCAAATTCATCCGTGGAGAAAAAACATTTGTTTAAAATATAGTTTTCTACAGTAGTTTTGAATATTTTCGTAGGTAGCATTCTCACCGAAGGTGGCAGTAAATTGTAAAACTTAGGGCCATAGTAGGACACTCCAGTTTTTATTCTGTGAAAGAGTGTGTAAATATTGTCTCGGTTTCTGGTGTGATGATAGTGAACATGTTCGTGTGTCACATAGTCAGATATGTTGTTTCTGACATGTAGGAGACATTGAACAATATATAACGATAGGACTGTCAATATTTTGTTCCTGATAAAGTGTTCTCTGCATTCCGCTCTATAGTCAATTTTAGCCAAAACTCGAACGTCTCTCCTCTGCAATGCAAACACACGACGCGAGTCAGTTGCATGCCCCCATGCCAGGATTCCATACGAAATCCTGGACTGGATGCACGCAAAGAAGACCAACCGCGCCACCACGTCAGAGACGTTCTGCACCAAAGTTCTAAGTGCATACACCCCCGACGCCAGCCTCCCACAAACAGAGTCCACCTGTGAGCTCCACATGAGCCCCGAGTCTATCCCTATCCCCAAGAAAGTGACCGGCCGGTTTTCCGGCAAGTCAATATCGCGCGACGACAAGAACAGCTCCTGGCTTTTTGATGCGTTTAGACTGAGCTGGTTGGCCACAAACCAATCTGTGACCCTCTCCTGCGTCTCCCCCAACTTGCCCTTCAATTCATCCATTTCTCTTGCCCTCCTAATAACTGTGGTGTCATCCGCAAATAATATGACATCGGCGCTTGGGTCGCTACATTCCAGATCATTAATATAGATCGAAAAGAGCAGCGGCCCCAAAACCGATCCTTGAGGAACACCATATTTTTGTTCGCATGTCGATGAACTATTTTCTCCCTCTACAGTCCCCCAAGCAGCGTTGACGTGTGGCTCCCTATAAGGATTCCAGTGTTCGAAAGGTCAGGATTAGCTCGCATGAAAGGGCATATTTGGGAAAATATATATCTATATTTTATATAACCTGAGCGAGTTTCTCTCCATCAACCCCCAAAGCTACAAACCCCCCCATGTCACCCCGTAAAGTGGGCAGTTGTGACAAATTTGGTGGAGGCGCCGTCTCGAAACCGACGCCCAAGAAGCCTTTGAAAAAAGCCAACAACCAAACACGTCACCAGGCGGTACGTCTACAAGAGAAATTCACGACAGCGTGGCGAAGGTAAACAAAAAATAAACTCGTAGATTTAAAAACTGGTGACCGCCGCCATCGTGGCAAGAATAGATGCCAGACAAACAGCATTGCCGTTGACTGGGTAATTTCCCAAAAACCGGGTATTTTCGACTAGTGTTCGGGTAAAATATTGATGTGGGTGAAACCGGGGAATCCGGAATTAGGTACAGCCCTATTCTTTTTTTTTTTTTTTTTTTTTCAAAAATTTCAACTAATATTTTCTACATTGAAATTTGATGTTGGACGTTCAAGATGGCGTTGCGGCATAACAAACTAGCTATCATTGTTTAGTGAATGGGAAATGACAAAGACGGACATAAAATGGTGGATCCATTGGTGAAATTTTATAAGAATAAACACGCAGAGGTCCATAAGAATAAGAGACTGTGTATTTCCTGTGAATTTCTGAAGTGTTTTTATCAGTTTGAAAAAGTTTTTTGATAATTTTTTTTATTTTTCGCGTTGCTGTGGTTCATGTAATTTATGTTTTTGACATTCATTTGCACAGATTCTTGGGGTCAGTTTTGTAGTGTACCTGATGCACAGGTATTTTATTGGTAGATAAATATCCCAAGTAACTCGGTTTTAACTACCATCAACATTAAAGGAAATTGAAATAAATTAAAATTCATCAAATTAAACTCTGAAACAAGTAGAAATAACACACATCTATGTGGAGGCAATGTTTAACCTCAATAGTTTGTTACATTCTTGGTGGAAACGGCCATTAATTAATGATTGGGGGATTTTGTTTTCAGTGTCCGGGTAAAATTGGGTATTTTATGATATTGGAAAGGGTAATGAGAATTCTTGGTCCGGCAACACTGCAGACAAAATCAAATACAATTTGAGGCCAAAAAACGCAGCAGCAACGACACCAATAGAATTATTAAGACCACCCTATAGGAGCACAGAATCAGAAAACGCGCTCTTTCTGCCGAGAAGATCACTGTTCAGCGTTGCCAACTTAGCGGATTTTCCGTCATATCTAACGGATTTTGGTGAAGGGAAGCGGAAAAAAAACAGTTTCAACGGGTGACGGATTTTTTAACGGAAACGGAA